CCATCACGTAAGTCTTGGACTTGTTGAAGGTACAAACCTTGATGAAGAGCAGCATGTTGAGCACTTTTGTTTCTCTCTTCCCATTCTTCTCCCTCAGCACCAGCACATCCAGCATGCCAGCTCCAACACTCTGGCCCATGTCAGCCAGACGTGTCTGGAGTTCCGAAACCGAGTACACTCGACTCTGGCAGTACTGGACCATCTCTGAGAACAGTAATGCAAACGCACTGACGCTGACTTCAGTCTTGGGTCTAGTCAAGGGCCGCTCCAAGATGGTGGATTTTCCTCGAGTGAACCGGGTGTCCATTTTCTGAGAACCACAGATTTATGGTTTGGATTATGATATGAGGATTTGTAATGTATAAATGGAAAATGCTATTTTAAACGCATACACTGCTCAGAAAAAAAAAGTCAGGTGAAATTTGAAGATGAACATTTATAGGTGAACTTAATTTGATCTCTACACTCTTGAATACACGTTTACAATTGTTCAGTGGTTGAGAGAGAGTTTTTTTTACCCTGCAATTTTCAAAGACATCCACTTCTATACTGCTCCGCGATCCCGTTTGAAGCCTCACAATGGTGAGATGCTTTGGATCATTTTCAGGTTTCATTTTTTTAGAGGTCACATTCAGTTTACTTGTAAAAGCTATGCTCTGAATCATAGGTTCATCCTGGAAGTTCACCACGAATATAAATATCCTTTGTTTTTGTTTTGTAAACATTGCATGTCTAATAACAATTAGACCGGGAAAACATGTTTTTATTTAGGCGCAACTTCTTTTGCGCTCCTCACGTATAGATTCTACACAAATGTATTCTTGGGGAAATCTTTGTTCCTTCAACTCATTACAATATTAGAACGTTTGACCGCTACTGTTACGAACTACCATAATGAGAAATTAAAATTTCGCTTGGGGTAAAAAGTCGATTATTTGAGAATTCTTTCGCGTGATAATAATGTCCATCCCACTGCGGCTTTACTTAGATTTTCCATAACAGCATATTAGCTGCGTTTTATACATATAGTTGTATTGCAATAATAGCTCAGTAGAACGCTGCCGGCTGGGTGTTAGCTAACTAGCTAGCGTTCGTTTCCTAAGAAGAAAAGGCATAACCATTTTTTTCGGGATTGGAAACCCAAATGTATATTATTTACTCATACTTGACTGTATGTGGTGGAGGTGAAACTGAATATGTCAATGTATTTGAGGAATAATTTGTCTGCCAAACTAACCGTATTATGCTGGCTGTGGAAGCTGCCTTCTTCGTCCCGCTTGTCATGTGACATTTCAGGCAATGATAAACTTTATACCGCCACCTACAGTTCCGGATTAAAACTGAAGCATCAAAACAAATACAGTATAGTACTGAACAATACTCCACCAAATCCATCCAAGCACAAAGTATGCAGTGACGTTTGAATGGAGGCCCCTTCGACTGTATAAACCAGAACCAAACGACGCATACTAATTTAAAAAAATGGATGGCAGTATAGTAACTATAAGTATACTATATATAATGTTGCATGATCGAAAGCCAGTTTTATTCAATACTTAAAGCGTGAATTAGCCTAATTCAAGAGTTTTGCAGTCCTTGATAACAAACCCAATTCCGGGACGGCCACTAGGGTACGCTAAAGGACTAATTAAAGCTTCTTCATCGAGCATTACGTTCCAATATTAAATGTATTTAATGAGGGTGTCAATTTTTAAAACTGGATACACCTGCTTTTAGATTTACATTGACTAAAATACAAGTGAGCCTTTTTAACAGCGTCTATGTAAGCCAAACCAATGCCAACTGGCAAATTATAACATCTACAATTGCACTACATCTGAATGGAGATTCTAATCTTCAATGTCAATGAAATTTGTTAACGTACACAATCCACTTAGGTATATAAACTACCTTACTACACACACTAAACCACTATTATTACACGTTATAAATATATTTTTTTTTTCAAAGGTGGATGTACAAAATACGCATCCAGTAATCATTGTCGTACGTGTACTGTCCGAGTAAAAACCTTTAAAAGTGAAAATAAACTTGCTGCTGCAGGGCGACTTCAACTTCTTGTCACCTCCCAGTCGACGTTACGTACGCCGCCGCCGCCGCCGCCGTGGCGTGCCTGCAAATCTAATAATATGGAGTCCTGTGCCGAATGCCTGCCAGGGAGCCATGCAAAACATCACCAAAGTGTTTCGTGTGACACTTAAAGAGCAGATTCGCGCATGTAAGCAGCCGGGGGCTTGTAGCGAGCATCGTCTCCGGGGCGTCGAGCTTCTTGCTCGGTCCTCAACTATGACGAGCGAAGCTTAGGCTGCGACTCCCTCCCCTGGATCCGCACACCCAGCCGATATCAGTGAGTATTTTCCGGGTGAAATTGTTGCCGATGTGAGTTCGTGCTTTTAAAAGGCACCGTGCATTGCATCGCGGAGCTTAGACTGACCTGACAATGACCGATCAACAACACCGGCCACGTACTTACAGTGGGCTAACACAAGCCCAGCCGCTGCACCTTTTGACGTCTCGGTTATTTCCTCACTGACCTAAAAGGGACAGAAAGGACGTGGGCCTGGAAATAAACGCCACATCTTTCTGTAACCATTCCGGCACTTGTCTCGTTTAAAAGAGCAGACGTTTTGTGAAAATGGGTCAGACGGGCCTATACAGCTGCAGCTGGTGGGGGATCTACTGAGGACAGCTAAAACATGAACATTCTGCAACTCTGCAATCGTTTGCGTTGTGTGACATCGCCGTTTGAACACACCGTCTGCAGTTTTGTCATGCAGATGAATGCAATCAGTGTTGAGCAATGGATGAATGTAGAAAGCAGAAAACGTAACTTATCGCATTTTCCCCCCCTCTTCGGATGTTTTCACAAGACGAGGAGGGGTGCACAATGTAGGCAGTCTGTTCTCCATACTGTTCTCTGGGAGGGGACAATGGAGCCAGAAGGGCAACCCCAGACCCCAGGGACCAGCGATGTGACCCCACCTTTGAACTCCGCACAAAATCCAGTCACCCCGGCCTTCCTTAACTGCACCTTACAGCAGGTAAAGCCTTCACGTCACCGTCACTGCTGTCATTTAAGGTGGAGGAAATAGTGGGGCATGTCATCTGCAATGTTATGAATCACACATACAACATCAATATTGTGTGATTTATTATGAATGTTTACTGAAAGACAATAGGAGTTGTTGGAACAATACCTTAATAACAGTAGGGTAGCGTGGTAAACTAGCGGGTAGCACATCTGCCTCACAGGAGTTCAGATGTGTTACAGATTAGTTACTTCTGCCCCGGTTCCAAACCTGTTTCTATTGACGGTAGTCGAAGAGCGCTAAAACAACAAAGGTAGTGTTGGACTATTGGTGAAGACGTTAGCATTGGCGCCGTAGATCAACAGAGTTGCTTGCATTACTTTTCCTTGCTGGGTGACATATTTCTTGGTTGCTTGACAGAACTTCTAAAGTACGACCTTTTCTACCCTATAGCCCAGTGGAAAAAATATATATACATATACATATAATTTTGTCCATTGTCTGCACAAAATAAAGATCCGGATACATTTTAAGTGGATATATCGTCTACTTCAAAAAAAAAAAAAAAAAAAAGATCTGCATCCAAATGATTTTTATTTCATGCAACCACCTGGCATCATAAAATTGAGTAAATTCAACAAATGTCTTTTTTTCACTGTGACACTAGTAGAAAACTCGCTGTGCCCCTCGGCACATATGGTGAGAAAATGATGAAATGTGTGACTTTTTTTTTTACGTATTACTTTTGTGATGTAATCCATCAATTTTCTATACCGCCTAACTTGGCATCAAAGGTGGCTTACACCCTGGACAGTCACAACAATCACAATTGACATCTGAAAAATGCACTTTTTTTTTTTAAGAAAAAAGAAAACAGTGCCATTCTTAACTATAATACAGTGAGCATTATAAAAATGTCCTATATGTTTTTTTGTAATTCTTGCCACTAGTCCTCATGTTCTTCCGACGTGAGCGACGCCCTGACGTCGACTAAAGGTTCACAAGGTCACGATGGGGATGTGCCTCCCGAGCAGACCGAGCGCTCTGAGCACAGTGCAGACCCAGCGAGGAGCGCACAGAGGAGATTCGGGTCCTCGGCCTTTTCTTCCTCCCTGAGCTGGGACGAGAAAGAAACCCGAGATGGTAACGCATCACTTTGCATATTTTGTCAAAAGTTTTGAAACTTGCTAGTCAAGCCAAGCAAAATTCAGTCGTGATCATTGTCGTCCTCTTATCGTTTTAAATGTGATTCAGTCTGCTTGGAGAAGTCTCTCAGTTGTCTCTGTGGAATCCACTTCGACGACAATGTAGTTTTGACTGTCGAATTTTCACTGTTTGGCTGTGAAGTGATTGTTTCTGTGGTTTGTGTGTGCTGTTATATGTCAGAGGAGGAGCTGCAGCATTTTTCTAACCCTCAAGGTCTGGCTGCTCACAGCCCAGGATCTCCTTCCTCTGGATCCAGGTGAGGAAGGTGGTGCTGTGGTGTACTCTTACAAACTAAAGCTTTTTTTTTTTTTTTTTTTTTTTAAACACAAAGATTTTGAAAAACGGCCCCATCAGAGCAGTAAGTGAAAGTTCCGCCCCAAGCCCATCGGGATGTTCATGCGATGTTCACGGCCAGCCAACTTCCCGAAATCGGCGTCTGCTGCAACTTATAAATACTCGTTGGGCAGCGACGTTGCCTTCGACACAACAAAACAGAAGAAGTTTGAAACGTCACCCCGTCGTCGCTGCATCACAGCGTTCACTGTTTATATACGCATTGTGTTGACTCGCTTGCTCCGTCCGAAGGCGAAATATTGGTGGGATGACTTAAATGACATCCAATGCTTCCGCTGTTTGTACCGAAAAGCGACTCCTTTATTGTATGTGCATGTAAAGCATTAGTGTGACATTGTATCTAGTATACAATATTGTTTTTGTGTGTGTGTGTGTGTGTGTGTGTGTGTGTGTGTGTGTGTGTGTGTGTGTGTGTGTGTGTGCGTGCGTGCGTGCAATATACAGTGTATATACATACTTGTACCAGTATCTTTACATAAAATATCTTGAAATATGTATGGATATCTATTTTTCTTTTTTGTCCAGAGTTGATAGTGAGGATGACGAAAAACCTGTAAAATTGCAGCACTCGGAGCAAGAGTCTGGTCTGTGCGTCTCTGGGGAGTTGCGCAAGGAAAGTCAAGAAAGCACAATAAGAGAAGAACCAAATACATCTCAGCTTGGCCCAACAGAATGTAAGTACCCACATGGCAGAGCAAAAATGGTTTTTCTCACTTTTCTATGAGACGTTCTCATTCACAACTTTTTGCTTCACAGTAGGAGGTAGCCATGACTGTAACATATCTGCGGGGGCTGAGGTCCTCCTCTGCAAAATCAAACCAAAGGATGCTTGCCAAATGGGGGATGATCCATACGAAAGGGAGGAAGAAGGAAAAGATGCCAAGGATCTTGAGGGGGATGTATACACCTTCATGGGAGACTCTGACCCCGAGAGTCCACCTCATGCCCCTGACGCTACACACTTCCAGAGGTGCAGGCAGAAGAGAGTCCTGCTCAGGCCCTTCACTGGTACCTTACTCCACACATCTCCTGAGGCCGGTACGCAAGCAGGCGGGAGTCCCCGAAGGTCAATCAATGCCGAATTGGCACCTCCAAGTCAAAGTGGAGGATCATACCATATTGATGATTTGGGGAAGGGATCGGCAGAAGAGCCAATCGTGATCAGAGACGGTGAAGGAAAAGGAGAGGAGCACAAAGACTGTCGTTTTGAGCGCGGCGCAGATATTTTCACTTGTGTGGAATGTAGCATATACTTCAACAAACAGGTCCACCTCAAGGAGCACATGATTGAGCACCGTCAAACGAGTGAAGAAGGTTCCGAACGTTTTGAGTGTACCGAGTGCGGATGGGACCTCCCCGATTCTGTCGTATTAGCCGACCATCAAAAAAGGCACCAGGAATCCCGTGCCAAGATCCTGGCGGAAATCGAGAAACTGAACGAAAATGAGAAGGCAAAAGAAAGACCGGAATCTGAGTCAATAACGCATGAAAGCCTGCAAAATATGAGTCCGCTTCCTGCTCCCGGCGAGGTGTCAGACACTCGTCCACTTCTATACCAGACTCCGCCTTTAACATCGGATGGTGAACATGCGGCTCTTCAATCAAACGCAGCTCAAAGTCCTCCGGGTTCTTTAGGAACCGCATTCCAGCCCCGGGCTGCTTTGTACCGCCGCCGCTTTGTTTGCACCCATTGTAACTTCAGCACAAGAACCTCCCAGGCGCTTGCCAATCACACCAAGACACACATGAGAAAGCCATTACTTTTTAAGTCCAGCTCCTCTTCTCCCGATTCCCCATCATGTTCATCTCCTCTTTCCTCAAGTCAAGCCGTAACAAAGAGATTGCGGAAACGAGCCCGATCTGGACCGGACTCCATCTGCGACAGAGCGCTGGGTGAATCTCATTGGTCTTATGAGCCGGTTTCAAACTCCATATTGGATTCCGACTGCGTCTCCGACTCTGTAGCCCCGCCCAACTCATGTCAAACCAAAGGCCGCCAGGGAATTGGCGCCTCTGAGAATGTTGTGGCCACCCAGGTAGTCCTTGGATGTCATAAAAACAGGAGGTTCAGTAGGAGAGCAAAACTTGGATCCAGGCCAAATGAAGAGGAGTTTCCTGGCTGTGAGGGAGACCAGCATGAGGGCCCAGAGATTGACCCTGAGAAGGTTGTAGTGAAAGGACGCGCTCGAGCTCGATCTGATCCAGGTGAGGCGAAAGAAAGAGACCTCAAGAGACACCACCACGCCATATTTAAAGCCTAAAACATATCCTTTTTTGTTCTATTTTTATACAGATGAGTCTCCGGAGCAGCAAAGTGCTGCGGTGTCCCCCGAGATGAGGAATAGTTTGAAGGAGAAGGATGAGCCAGAAGGGGAGACTGACACAAGGGGTTTTGTTTTAAGGAGAAGCAACAGGATTACGGCCCCCCCTGTAGAAATTGAGAGCGACGAGTGCGATGATGACGAACGCTTGCAACGTTTCCTGTCCGGGGACATCTCGGATGAAGTCGAAGATGAGATTGATGAGGTCTCGGGCTCTCTGAGGAGCGTGGAGAGGAAATGCCCCTACTGCCCCGATCGATTCCATAACGGCATCGGCCTGGCCAATCATGTGAGGGGTCACCTGAACCGGGTGGGCGTCAGCTACAACGTGCGCCACTTCATATCCCCGGAGGAGGTCAATGCTATTGAGAAGCGGTTTTCCTATCAGAAGAAAAAGAAAAAAGGTCAGCGTCTTTGTTAAATTGTGAGCATGAATTCTGAAAGTCACCAAGACAGTTTTGGTCTTGGTTTGGAACAGAAATAAGAGACAATCTGAACGTAACAGCGGCGCAATTGGAAACAGGTGAAGATTCTCAACTCAACTGTATTCCTAGAGCACTTCAAAACAAACCACCGCTGCATACAAAGTACTGAACACGGAGCAAAAACAATTCATACAATAACAAACAATAAATTAATAACAAAGACAGTAGAAAGCACAAAAACCGTCAAACTAAAAATCAGACTTCCTACAACTTACTGCAACCTTTTTATTTTATTTTTTTTTTACTCCACAGTGGCTAACTTCGATCCATCCACGTTCAGTGTGATGCACTGTGAGTTCTGTAGCGCCGGCTTTGACACTCGCGCCGGCCTGTCGAGCCATGCCCGGGCGCACCTGCGAGACTTCGGCATCACCAACTGGGATGTTACCATCTCGCCAATCCACATCCTGCGAAAATTGTTCTCCAGCAGACCGGACCTTGTCATCCCCACAGCTCCCCCGCGGAGCCCCGTCTCTGTTCACGAAGAGGATGAAGAAGAAGAAGAAGAAGAAGAAGAAGAGGACGACGAGGATGGGGTCATTGAGGTGAAGCTGGAGGGTGAGACGAGCGAGAGGAAGAGGGATGCTCTTTCTCCTGTTTCTCTCTCGTCTGCATCTGCTGGACCTTTGAACGCGGAGGATGGTGTCAAAGAAGGTATGTTTGATGGTTTGAATTCATTGTGGGCCAAAGTGCCGTTGGTCGATGAACAAATCTTCAGATCAGCGCCTCCAAGTGGTCGATTCAGCTCAGTCGTTGCGAATCATGTCCGTAGTGATGGGAGCAGAATGCATACAGCGACATCCAGTTGGGTCATGTTGAGCTGTTCTAGTAGGCTTTTATGGGTTTATTTCATTTTTTTTTTGCTTTAGTAGAATCCTAGGTTTTATTCTGTCACTGTTTGATATTTGGAACTGTTTATTATTCCCGTCCACATGAATAAGGCCCTGGTTTCAGCTGAAGAGAAAGCATGCTGCTGTCACCGCCGTGCTTCCTTCACTTTTATGTTCATTTGGCGATATGAAGTGTTTTGTTTGCGCTAAACATATCTTTTGGAATTAGAGATAAAAAGTTCAACCTTGGTTTCATCGGAGCAGAACACATTTACCCACTTGTTTGAAATATCAAGGGTGTGTTTTTTTTTTTTTTGCTTTCTTTGGAAGATAAGGCTTCGGTGTTGGCACCTTAACCCACAGTGGGGTAATCCAAGGAAGATAGGAGATGGCCGGAACATGTCCTAAACAACCAGTTTTTGCAAGAAATTGCTGCCGTTCCTTCATAGTTGCCGTTGGCCTCTTGACAGCCAAGCTGACCAGTTTTCTTTTCTAAATGTGTAGAAGAACCTGATTAAAAGTGGATATGTGCCAATACGAATGCAGCCAGCCTAAATGCAAAAATTGCAGATTGGATAGCTCGATCCCGACATCTACCCTGTTTCCCTCAATCGTCAAATGACGTTGAAGGGTTTGTTGACTACTTGTGCCATCGGTGAACATTTTCTAGCAGAATTAAGTCCTGAGCCATAGTGACTGAATGTGTGTGTGTGTGTGGGGGGGGGGTGCAATATTGGAGCATAAGCATGGATCCTATCGAAGGATTTGAATGACTGATGAATGAAGCAATGGGAAACGTGACCCCAGATGCTTGAAATTCACCCGTCACTTTGAATGCTGAATCAAAACAGGGGTGTCTGACCTGGGTGCGCGTGCGTGCGTGCGTGAGTATGAGCGAGGAGGTAAGGGAGACTGGAGGAGTGCGGTGAGAAAGTCAGTCTCCCGATGCCCGTTGATGTGGCACTCGACTCGGTGCGTTCATCGCAACCTCCGCCTCCTCTCGATTGGTCACGCCTTAGCTGAGCGGTGCATATGGGGGCAAAATGGCTGCTTCCACCTCCCCGCGGACCCAAACAATAGCGGAAAACCCGTCTGGCTCCAATGCGCTGCGGTCGCGGACCGGTGAGTAGCGGCCGGCGTCGACTCCGCGTGCTCTCGGTTCCCGCGGCGGCGGTGCGTCGCGCGACTCGGGCCCCATCTCGAGTCACGTCGTTGGCAGCCCCGAGCCATTAAAAAGTGTCAGCAAAATGCGCGTCTCCCTCGCAGGTAACGCGCAAGTCAAAGCGCGTTAAATCAGGTCATTACTTACGGGCATGACTAATTACGAGGACCGGCGTGTCGATCGGATTGCGATCGCTGATGGGTTGTTGCTCACAGTTGGATATGCTCAGTCTTTTTTCGATCAGACCTAAATCACAATCCTCGCCATTTTACTTCGCTTTGATTTTCTTAAGAGGGTGTGCTGCGATTCCATTGCGTGGAAGCATCTTAGATCCTGGAGCGATCGCGCAAACGTCACGATGTTAACTTAAGTGCAACCGACACTTATGTGGATCTAACTCGGACCACGAGCCCGGTGGAAGTTTGACTTTAGTTGAGGCGATCCAGAGTGGAGCGAGAGGTTGACTTTGCTCCACGCTGGAAGGTAAATGGGTTCGTCTGCACCCCGAGGTGTCACATCGCCGCTCCATTACAGTCAAGGGATGAGCGGCCCGCCCACCAGACGAAAAGCTTTGTCTGGCTCCACGTCTCTTTTGATTCACCCGTTTGTCGCAGAAAATGCCCAACTGCAGGAGACTGTCTATATTTCGGCCACCGGCTTTGCTTTTTGCACCGTTTTTTTTTTGGTCACTGCGTGATGTCATGAAATGTCATCGTGAGCTGCGATTTCTAAAAAAAAAAAAACTGCGCTGCCAAGGTTGCGCTTTGTTTTCTTCCCGTGGTATCATTCATTCGTGCACTTTACCCACACTGAGACCCCCCTTGAAATTTAATGTATTGTCGTCACCATCAAAATATGGCGTTTTATCAGGACTTTTTTGGTCCCTATCAGGTCTTAAGCCCACAACATCAGTTGAATAATGACACATCATATACTTCACAGTCATCATTTATTGAACAACAACAAAGCCAACATGCACTAGAAATGTCCGGCAAAGATCAGTAGAGCCTCGAATGTCAAACCCGCTTGTGGATTTGAAACCGCTCTTCTCATAGCAAATAACAGAAATGAAAGTGACCTTAAAACCTTTAGTAATTGTACATGGTACACTTTTGCTTTTAAACTGTCATGCAACTGTAAAATAAATTGTCCACTCATTGTATACTGTGCTCGTGCTTGTCCTCATGAGCGTCAAGTGTGAGTTGGAGCCGATGCCATCTGACTTTGGGCGAGAGGTGGGATACGCCCTGGACTGGTTGACACGAGACAAACAACCATTCACATTCACACCGAAGGACAATTTAGATTCTTCGATGAACCGAACCATGCAGGCGGGAAATCCCTCACCTCAGAATTATGACGTGGGTGTGCCAACCGCAGTGCTGCCCTTAAATAAATCAAGCACTGTTATTAAAATTTATAGACAATAAACAACCAGACCCAAAGGTGTAATTAGGTTAATTATTTTCACATTACTTGTCATATAATTACGAAAATCGCCTATCCACTGGAAACTCGAAGCTTGAGCTTGCTCCATCACATTGTGGGCAAGCGCTGTTTATGCTCCCGCCACTGCATCTCTATTGGTTTGATGGCTGGGCGGTTGCAACAACGGCATTCTTTTTCTTTTTCAGGCATTCTGTTTGAGAGGGAATCATTGATGACCGGCAGCGGTCTCGTGATTGAGCAGAGCATTGGTTCTCTTCAACTTTGCCTTGTGTTGTGTGACTGGTTTTCTTTTGGCCGATGACTACTTCCTGTTTTTGCTTCATTTTTCGCTGGCTCGACGGGGCTCTCGGCCAGGATCGAGCAGCTTTTTGATCACCCAGCGCCTCGATGTTTAACAAGAAGAATAAAACTGCAGTCCCATAGATAGATGTCCTCTTCGCTGCAGAATGCTCGACTTTCAGATCTGTGCGGATGTCTTTCCTGCTGGCATACCCCAGAATGCACCAGAAATTGCAAAAAAACAAAAATGTCGACTTTGAGGAGGTGCTGCCCCGGCTGCTATTTTATGCTGGTGTACTCGCGCACGCTTCTGCGTTTGGCTTAGTTGATGTTAAACACGTACTGAACGATAATAGCAGGGCGCATTTCCGGATGCATTTGATCATATCCTGAAGAATTCATCAAACCTTAACATTGAAACTGGGGGAACTTACATGAATCACCGTGAATTTTCTCAAGCGGCATTGCGTTTCCCGACTACAAGGGACGGTGTGTGTTCTATTGCAGGTGACGGAGAGGCTGAAGAAGAAGTTGAGCCTGAGCACTTGGCTGTCGATGGCCTCAGCTCGAGCCCGAAGAAAACATGCCTGCGCAACGTGGACCAGGATTGCCTTTCTGCAGGCGAAGATGAAGGCACCAAAGGTGCCAGAGAAACGTTTTGGGTTTTTTTTATGTTGCAAGAAAGGCCCAAAAGGGTACAAGTATGTTCCCAGGCTTTTAAAGGTCAACTGCCATCCAAAGCTAACAGTTTATTTTGGACAGTATATCCATTTGGCCACGCGAGAGCATTATTTCTTGTTGTACTGAATCGATTTAGCGACATCAGAGATCGATGCTATTGCTGTCCGAATGCAGGTGAATTCCAGTAGCGTGGAATATAAACCGATTTGGTTCCTGAAGCGCTTCAATTCTAAAATTGCAAAGTCCGACCTGTAGCGAGAGGATCCAAAGCTCTTTTATTTTTCGAAAACGCCGCGATGAGTCGAGTGTCTGACTCGCTCGAGTCACTCATGGACTTTCTGGTCTCTCTTCCAGTTCATGACTTGAAGTGTGAATTGTGCGACGCTCAATTTGAGAGCAGGCGCGACATGTCCAGCCACGCCAGCTCTCACTTGCAGGCATCCATCGACCTGCTCTGTCAAACTGCCAAGGAGCGTCACCCGGACAGCCATATAAGCTCACTTGACCCGGAGCCTCAGTCAGCCAAGAGTTCCTCTCTGGTCGACTCGGAGACCCACGAGGACAAAAACCACGAGGAAGGTGAAGACTTGGACGAGAACGCGATGCCCCTTTCCGTTTTGACCCAAGCAGTGAAAGCAACGCCATCCGCTTCCTGTTCGGCACACGCGCCTTCTCCCGCAGGCTCTCCGATTCTGGCTTACGCGAGCTCTCCAACTTCAGTGGTGAGGAAAGCCCCGATTTCCTCTTTGCTGCCGGCGTCTTCCCCCTTGCGCTTCACAGAGCACAAGACCGCGGCCGTGAAAGGCTTGACCCCCAACCTCTTAACCTCTGCCGCCATCTCGCCATCCAAACCGATCTGGGCCCCACATGAAAACGACGCTCCTCTCAACCTCGGTAAGTTTCCCCCTTTGTCTTCATGATTCATATCAACGCGGTTTCACGATCGACGTTGGCGTTTGTCCAAACACGCAGCCCTCGAGGTGGAGCCTAGCAAGGACATCGTTTGCCAGCTGTGCGGTGCCTGGTTTGAGACTCGCAAAGGCTTGTCCAGCCACGCCAGGGCTCACTTGCGGCACTTCGGGGTGGAGTACTCGGAATCGAAAGGCTCGCCGATCGCCCTCCTGAATCAGTTGATGGACTCGGAGGACTTCAAGCACAAAGCCGGCGAATTCCATCTTGACACTGAATCCCGGAGTGTTCCCAGCGTGCTGTCCTCCCCAAAGAAGGCAATGCTGCCTTCCTCCTCCCCATCTCTACTGTATAAGGTGACAACAGCGGGAGGCGGGTCGACCTCCAAAGCTACCTCTCCGTCATCCTTTGGCCCGCCTCCCAAGCGTCTCAAATCATCTTCCGTGCAGGTCTTCCGCCTGGGCAGTGGCGAGATCATGAGCCTCCCGCAGAGTGAGTCTTTTTTTTTTTTTTTTGTCGTTGGATGAATTGAATGTGCGCACTAATCCAACGAGACGACGCAATCTTCTTTTTTACTTTTCTAATTGCTTAGGTGAGCCCACAAAGGAAATAGGCTGTGAATTCTGCGGGGAATATTTTGAGAACCGGAAAGGGCTGTCCAGCCACGCTCGCTCCCACTTGCGTCAAATGGGGATTACCGAGTGGTCGGTCAACGGTTCCCCGATCGACACGCTGAGGGAAATCATCTCGAGACGGGGCTTGCCTTGTGCCCGTCGTCCTTTCAAGTCTCGCAAAACTCCCCCTCCATCTTCTCCCGGACCCCCCGGTTCCCCGCTGTCGACCCGCTCCTCACCATCGACCGTCCTTAGCCGATTACCCTTCGCCTCGCCGCCGCCCGCTTCCAAATCGAATTCGGCTCCGCCGATGTCCTCAAGCGGGCTGATTCTTAAGCTGAAGCCTGAACCCGTGCAGCTGGAGGTCACATCGCCGGAAGCGGTGGGTGGTTCCGGCGGCCTTTCCGCCGATTCGCTCAGCTCCGGCTGGCGCGTCTCCGACAGTGCGTTCCCTCTCAACTTGGGTAAGTTTTTATCATCGAAGCGTTTTGGAATGCTTCATACAGAACACTCTCTTTTCTCTGATTTCCCGCAGCTATGTCTCGAGAGGCGGAGCCGACAAGAGATATTCGCTGCGAATTCTGCGGCGAGTATTTTGAGAACCGAAAAGGCCTCTCGAGCCACGCTCGATCCCATCTGCGCCAAATGGGCATTACCGAGTGGACGGTCAACGGGTCGCCCATTGACACCCTGAGGGTCTTTATGCACAAGAGAGGGTTAAGCGCTTCCTCTCAGTCTGAGGGCGAGAAGAAGGAGGGTGCCAAAAGTCCCTCATGGGCCAACGCAACCAAAACTTCGGGGGGGTTGTTTCTATCTGGCTACCAGTCGTCCAAGCTCTATAAATCCCCTCTTAGTATGCCATCATCGGGGTCCAGGCTTTCCAAGCAAGGCCTGAGCTCCGCGAGCCCCTTTGAGACCCCGAGCTTACCGAAGATTGTCAGAATCTCCCCGCTAGGAAAACAGCCCGAAGAAGCCGTGTCGCCGGACGCTTCCCGCGCGGCGTCGCATCAACGTAAGACGTTCTCACCGCTGCCGCACGACTTCCCTTTGAAAAAAAAGCCTTCCCCTGACAAGTATTTGCGTAAGGGTGAGTGATCAAATTGCGTCCTGCTTTTCAAAACTTGCCAGTTGGGACGGTTCTGACCGTCAAGGCGCTGCCCCGTCCTCTCTTCTTGCGTCACCAGATCCGAGCTGTGAGCTGTGCGGCTTCTACTTTGAGAACCGCAAGGCGCTGGCCAGCCACGCGCGAGCCCACCTCAGGCAGTTTGGCGTGACCGAGTGGTGTGTCAACGGCTCCCCCATTGAGACGCTGAGCGCCTGGATTCACAGCAGGCCGCAGAAGGTGTTGGAAATGCACCGGAGCTACATGCAGAGTAACCGCCCCACCTCCAAGAGAGTAAGTAGAGGCAGTCCCCCCCCCCCCCCCCCCCACCCGCGGCCCCCCCCCCCCCCCCCCCATCCTGTTAGTCACATAGCTCAGCCCAGGCAAGGCTATTATCAACAAACTTTTAGCTCCAAGGATTTTATTTGTATCTTGTACCTTTGACACTTCAGTCTGTTGCGAGTTCTGGAGAAAAAAAAAAAAAAATGGAGACACATCACAAAACTAAGCCGCTCGGGTCATAACCCACCCAAGTGCTCATCTGGCACACTCAATTGGCTCTCTGCGTTTCTTCACTCTGCGTCACATGCTTGGAGATCAGATATGCCTCAGCTGGCGGTTTGACGGGCTCCGTGCGATTTGGAACACTCGAGACGTGTTGCCGATCAGCTTCGATGATTAGATTCGGTGTCTTTACGTCTCGCAAGCGTCACTGTGCCAGCGCAAGTGAGCTATTGACTCAATAGTTACCATAGCAACCAGGGTGCCTCGCCGCTTCTGTTTCATCTTCAGATAAATTATCGTTTGTTGCCGATTGAAGAAAATGTTTTTCTTCTCTTCTGACTTAGTTTCTTGGTGCATTTGCGTCACTCTCGCACATTTCGCCCGAGCTGTGATGTGACGCAAATACAGAATGGATTACCTTCCGGATGTCATTGTGTTTCCAATAGATTGTGTTGGAATCCTACATTATTTCAGATAGAACTGACATGAACAGAATAGAAGAAAACCGAATTATCACTCTCACAGGAACAATGAAAAATCAGTTCAGCCAACGAAATGAACAGAGAGGAATATGCACTCGAATCGTCAAGTTTTTGAACCCGCCAGCTTTTTCGGCTGAGGGGCCCCTCGTCCTCCGACAGAAAATAAATAGTTTGAACATCGATTGTTAAATCTCCTGACCTGTGGTTGTTTTGGCTGCTAAAAATAGTTCGCTCGCCATTTTCCAAGCCTGCTTCTTTTTTTAGGTTAAAAAAAAAAAGTGGGGGGGAAGCTGGCTGTGTTGTTGACCTTTCGGTATCACAAACTGCAATTAAACTGGCCAACATAGTTTTTATTTCACCAAAATGTGTGTGTGTGTGTGTTTTTCCAAATAGGTTTGCCTCACGCGGGTCACTGTACCTTGTCCATAAACCGCCGATGGAATGACTTTTTCCCTCGTTGCTTTGCAGAAGAGCAGCTCACCCCTCCCCGCGTCGACGGATTCTGATCATAGCCCCCCCTTCTCGCATAAGGCCTCTTCATCCTCTTCATCATCCTCCCAATGGTCTTCCGCTTTGGCGGTGAACCTGGTGCGCCCGCTGAGCCGCGAGCTCGGCCCGGGCTCCAACAAGGCTTCGGAAGATGAAGCGGGTCCCAACCTTCGGGCTTCTCACGTCAGGCCGACCAGCAGCAGCAGTCCCAGACCCTCGCAGCTTGTCAGTAGCCTTCCACTTCAAGCGCAGGTGGCTCGCAGTGAACTCAATGTTCGCCTACCCAGAGGTACAGAACGGTTTGATTCCATTTCGATGGTGTGTTTGATCGCGTGGTCCCTTTTTCGCAAGATCCCACAAACGAGCCTCCCTTGCCTTGTACCAAAAACCCCATCAAAGTGTGATTTTGCTACAAGTCTTTGCACTTCTATATCGCAACACAGCGCCGTCCGTTCAGATCATTCAAAACGTCACCGCTACTTGTCGGACAGCCGCATTGCTTTGAACACAATATAAGGTGTCGAAAGCTCTTTAAAATGTCACTTGGATAGAATGTAAAGTCTTAATTATTGCTGCAAATGACCTATAAGCTTTAAGCGGCCATTCATCAAGCGTCTTCAAAATGGCACTTTACTGTACAACTGTTGTCGCCGTGATGTAAGAAAATAATTGATCATAACAATCATAATAAATCATGATAAGCATGACCGATCAATATCCCCCTCTTGGAAGGTTTTGAACGTCGGCCCCTGAAGCACCCGTCTTGTTTTTCGCAAGATCCCACAAACGAGCCTCCCTTGCCTTGTACCAAAAACCCCATCAAAGTGGGATTTTGCTGCAAGTCTTTGCACTTCTATATCGCAACACAGCGCCGCCGTCCGTTCAGATCATTCAAAACGTCAGAGCTACTTGTCAGACAGCCGCATTGCTTTGAACACGAAATAAGGTGTCGAAAGCTCTTTAAAATGTCACTTGGATAGAATGTAAAGTCTTAATTATTGCTGCAAATGACCTATAAGCTTGAAGCCGCCATTTATCAAACGTCTTCAAAATGGCACTTTACTGTACAACGGTTGTCGCCGTGATGTAAGAAAATAATTGATCATAACAAATCATGATAAGCATGACCGATCAATATCCCCCTCTTGGAAGGTTTTGAACGTCGGCCCCTGAAGCACCCGTCTTGCATCGAGGGAACCGAGAGGGACAGCGGCCCGGCAAAGCCCCCGCGCACAAGCACAGTCCCCGCTTTAGTGCCAAAGCCACCTGCCTACCCCCTGGTCAAGCTAGTGGGCAAGTTCTACACCCTGAAGTGCCGGTGAGTCGCGTCTTTGTCGTGGAATCCTATCGCCGAGGCTTCAAACGGTCGCGGCAGTCATTTGTTGGGAAGGAGAGTTTGGCTCCGCCTCCTGCTCTAAATTGGCACACTTGGCAGTTTGTTTGTTTTTTTTGCCCCAAGTTAAACAAGCTAACGCAAAATCGATTTGATCAATCACAATGAATAAAAACTAACAAACCCCATCTACAAAAACGACATCAAAAAAAGTCAAACTATATTGAAAAATCCCAAACTTTTGCGACACAGGACCCGCACGCAGGACTGATGTTGATTTTTCGGTGATTGGCTAAAATTAGTTGGGCCGCCGTCGTTGAGGTTGTCACCGCTATCCCCTCGTGCCCCGTCAGATTCTGCGAGGTGGAGTTTCACGGTCCGCTCTCGGTGCAAGAGGACTGGATCAGGCACCTCCAGCAACACATCCTCAAGATGAACTACAGCCAGCCCGCTGAACCCAAAGCAGACCGCGCTCAAGTCATGACGGACGAGCCGACCGCCGTCCGCCAGGCTTCAGCCGCCGGCACCTCCTCAACGACCTCCCTCACCCCCACCGTGACTCGCTCCGTCGCCGCCAACGGCCGCTCGCCCGAGCCCCTGGCGGAACTCGCTCCTGGCGTCGCGGAGCTCGTCAAAATCTCGGAGGAATCGCTCACCCCGGCTCCTCTTCCCCTGCCCGCCCAGGTGGTGTAAGCTCATCCCTCTCCACCTGGCAGGCCTTGCCCTCCTCTTCTTTTCTTTTACTTTCCTGCCGTTTCATTCCTTCGAGTCCATCTGTCTCTTCCCCGTCAAGAGAATCACTCCCTTTCAACATTTGGTGAAGGCCAAAGAGCCCTCAGTGCCCCAAGCACCTTTTGAAGCAGCTTTTGAAACTGTTACAAAGTCTCGTTACCATGGGAACGAAGCCCCTCTTGGCTTGAAGGGCGATTGCGGCCAAGGTTATACGCGGAGGTGAACTATTGTTACGCCTCGTTTTTATTGAATGTCCAGGTGTTGACGTGGACCATTGCCGCAGCCCCCGGCACCCGTTTATCGGGCGGCGAAAAGGGGTTTAGCGCCCCCTCCCATCACGCTCCGGCCCCCTTGTTCTCACAAACCATTTCTACCTTTTGGTAGAAGCATTGGTCTCACGCACAGGTCCTGACTGAAACCAGAAGAGAATTCTTCACGCAGCCAGTCTTGCGACGGAGACTTTAAACACACGTTAACACTTAGTGTTAAAAAAAAAAAACATACGTGGCACTTTTGACATAGACACTGAGCACTTATGAAAATAATTTGATTGGATGAAATTGTGACTGGTGTAAGGAGCAAGAAGTGGAAGCACACCCCAAAAAAGGGAAATTTAACTAAATACCGACCCCAAAATATCAATGTTGCTTGAATGTAGCATAAAGCACTTGTTCATTCCTTTTATTTCCACACATTGAGCAATCAAAAACTTGCCCCGTGTTATATACCACTGATATTCCACTGCTGCTGTGCAGATTTTTTTTTTTTTTTTTTAAATTATCCCTCTGTTGATTTCGGGGCCTTCAAAAACACAAACAAACAAAAAAAAAAAAAAAGGACATTCATGGTTACATGTTTTTACAGTTAACCTTCCATTCACAGTGTTACCATCGGCATCCGGCCTTTTTTTTTTTTTTTTTTAACATAACCCAAATAATTATTTATTTATTATGCACCTGAATGTGGTAAGCTAGCTCATTATAAAGACTTAAGTAGAACTTTGGATTGTTTGGTAAACCGTGCACTTTTGCACTTGTGCAGTGTGTGCGTGTGCGTATGTCTGTCCAGAACTGCCCAGCCACAACATTAGGCACAGTACACTTAGGCACAATCTACTGAGATCCAAGACAAAAAAAATTCTGCCTTTGCAATGATGGTCATGCTCAGTTTGGAATGACACGCTCTCTTTGTCATCTTTTGGTGGTAGTTGTCAAACTTAAATTGGATGAGGAGCGCCGTTTTCATATTTTGACTCTCATGTAGCGCACCCGAGGGAACCCAAATATTAGGAAAAACCCAGGACCATCAAGTACAGTTGTTGACAACCAACTACAATTGCAATAATAAATATACTGTTAACCTAACGCCATCCTAATGTTTCAACAGAAACTTTTTTTTTTTTTTTTTTTAAATAGTCTTTGAGACAGTTGTATTGGCTCTCTTTAGATCATGCGGCTGGTTAGAATGCTGTGGCCAGTTGGTGTACATACATTTGTACAAATATGCTTTAGTTTCAAAAGAAAAAAAAAAAAGACGCTTGATAGGGCATCTTTGTGACTTAACGTGTGGCCTCCTGATTGTACGTCGCGGGATCGGGACGTGCAGGATATGCATTGGCGTTTGGGTGTGCCAAAGAGTCTGTTTACTTCCTCGTCTTGCCTCTGTAAAAGGTGTTTACGTTGGACCTGATGATGGGAGCGAGCATTAAGAGTTCCCCGAGGCTACTCGCCGAATAAATGGACTGAGCAGCGGTGGCCCGCATCCTACTTACGAGCAGCCTTGCGCTTTTTCGTCGGAAGGACGCGGCCTCCGAGTGAGACACCCACCGTGGGATTGGCGTGAACAGGAGACAATTCCAGGCAAAACATGAACAGAAACCAAACGTCATTCCAAGCCAGGGCTCTGGAGGACTCTCAGCTCGCAGTCCAAACAGAAAATCGCGCGACGTTGGGCTCCGGTCCTTCAGAGGTTCTTCGGTGTGTTCATATCAACGCAAAACCGAAGCATCAACATGAGTAAACTTCAAGTTGGTTCCCGTGTTGCCCATGTTTCACATGACTGTTTGCTTTCAACGTTCCCCTTCCGTGTGTACGGAATATAGACGCACACTATATAACTCCATGTACTTAAGAAGCTGTTGACATTAGTAGGAGCTCTTAGCAGTTCTACACTGAACGCAAATGTAAACGCAACACTTTTGTTTTTGCCCTCATCGATCGAAGACTTTTTTCTATGTGCGCAAATGATCAATTTCGCTCAGGTATCGTTAAAAAAAAAAAAAAAAAAAACGAAATAATCTTTTGTCACGGTCAAGTGCTTGATACTTGCATTGAGCCAACCTTCACTCCTTAGTTTACCGTCGTCGTAACGGAGAAGCCGTCGTTTGTTTACCACGCCATCCAAGGATTTCATGAAATAAAACGCACACTTAGGCCAATCTTGACCAATACGCTCTTAATGCAAGCAGGAGTTCGTCGGAAGTCAAAAGCAACGTTTACCGTTGCGAAAAACTGTTTGTCATTTTGCTCCTTCGATCTGGTTTGAATGAACGAGCCTCCGTCAGCGCAATGCAAAGTGCCGTTTGGAGACAGTGACGATCGATCGGCTGTTAGCCAGCGAATCAGCGCCCGAGATAAAAGTAGACGATGAGACGGTACACCAAAGCAAAGAAAAAGGCAATGATCGAGTTGATTTGTTGCGTTCTACTTAGCTTTGGTCCTACTTTTATGACCAGCGTGTTGCCAAGGTTCTGGATGTGTGCGCGCGTTTGATTTCGCGAAACCCCGATGGCCGCCGTGGAGCCGAGGCAGACTTTTAAACCTTTTGAGTTCATTGAATAGAGCCGTGCAAATGTGCACAAACATATTTAGCTTGTGTATGTGTCATCTTATTGCCACCCCTCTGTCAACCCTGACCACCTCGCTGGAAATGTTCCTGCTCTGGCCTTTTGAATGTCAAGATGCAGGCTAAGGCACAGCCGTAGGAATCACGCTGTCGAATCAGCATTTTGATGTTGCACGCCTGAGAGGTGGCTCACCTTGGCAAAGTAGAAGTTGTCGCCAACACAAATCGATTTGTCACCGATCGTGAGAGAAACGGGCCTTTTGCCGACATAGCAAAAGATCGTGAAAAATGTGAGGGAAAACAAGTGTTGCGTTTTGGTTTTTTTCTTTTTGTTCAGTATATTAGCCACGTAGTTGAAAAAAAAAAAAGAAGTGATCTGAATTCCTTTATTGTGATTTCATTTCAACCTGATTCTATGTATTTTAGTTCTCTGTGCATTTTCTGTACTTGCAGTCCTGCAAAGTGAATATTAGAACATTTCTAAATTTTTAATCGCTGAGTCGCGGAAACTTTGGGTGCTGGTTAGAATGTTGCAACGAAACTTGTGTGATTGAAGGCGATTTGACAGTGGATCAAAGCAGCCACAGAAGCTTTTCAATGGGACTACTTTGCACTCTTGCGCCACTGTATGAGCCTTAGTGTTCCCCCTTAAAAAAAGTGCGCGCGTGTGTGTGTGTGTGTGTGTGTGTGCGCGTGTGTGTGCGTGCGTGCGTGTATTATTGTGTGAGTGTGTGTTGCACACACACTTACACGATAATACAATAGATACGACAGCAGCAGACAAAAAGATGTTTGAGAGAGAAAAGAGCTGTTCTGTACAGTTTTAGGTGAATCAACTCCAGAACAAAATAATAAATGTGATTTCCGTTTCAGAAAATGAATGTTGGACTTTTTCACAGCACGTCTTTGTATCAAATGTTTTTAGGAGGGGCAAGGGCGTGGGGGGGCTCTGTGGGACACTAGGGGGCGGCAGAATATTGTCTGGGTTCTATTGCAAGTTCAGAAATATTTTTCACTCAAACTTGTGTGGAGGGCAGAGGAATGGTACATGATCACTCTGGGGAAATGAACATTACAGATAAATATGGAACATGTCGTGTCAACGTGAGGCAGAGTTGTACATCTGAAGCGACAGCCGTATACTGTATATTCCAAACGGTACACACACGGCCAATTGGCCACAATACAGTACTCCCAAATAATCACACTTTTACATTCATTTTCCAAATTTAAGGCACAGCTCTTGTGTTGACTGGCACTAGGTTGTGTACAATGGATATTAAAAAAAAGTCTACACACCCTTGGCCAAATGCCAGATTAGTATGCTAAAATAAATCATTTAAAAACTTTTGCCACCATTAATGTGACCTAGGAGATAATCCGGTTGCCCAAGCGTTTGCGCACTTGGGCCCAACAGATTTTGGGGGGGGGGGGGGGGGGGGGGGGGGGGGGGGTCAACTCTGATTGAGACATTTGGCAGACATTTGGTGCTTACACCAAAAAGAAAAAATAAATTCAAGAAAAAATCTTTGTTTCACATTAATTTTGTCCTTAAGTATTTGTTTAGATTTACAACAGTGTGTTATGTTTCGGTCTGGTTACGTTTGGTTTTGATTCCCTCATGTGCCCTTTTTTCGCCACCTGTTGTCGTTATCAGTGTCCCTTGTGTGGAACCAATTGGCTCCCTGATCCCTTTGTGTCTTGTCCAGGTGTTTCTCGTTGTCTCGTCACTTTGCTTGCATTTCGTTCCCTGAGTTTCTGTCAGTCTTTGTTGGGTCATTGTGAGCTGTGAGTATGTGAGCATATGTGTGCTCCTGTCATGTTTTGTTTCCTGTCTTAGATTTTTGGGACAAAGTTTTGTTTTGTTTTGTTTTTTTTGGGGGGGGTGGGGAGTGTTTGAATGTCTTTGTCTTATGTTGTAATGTGTTAATGTTTAAATATCATACAATTAATCGGTGGGGCTCAGGTGCACCCCCTTATGACTGGCTGTGTTCAGTAATCAATAATGACATTCAAGCTCTTGTTAAATGGGAGTCGGCACGCACCTAACATTTGAAGCTCTTCCTGTTAACCCAAAATCGAGTTCAAATGTTCTAGTGGGCTTTTTTTTTTTTTTTTTTTTTTTTTTTAATAGTCACATTTTACAGCACAAGCCATGATCTGCAAAGAGCTTAGATCTTATTATTCAAAGGTATCGGACAGGGAAAAGCAACAAACAAAAGTCCAAGGCATTAAATCTACTTTTGAACAAAGAGAAAACAGTCACCCTGAAGTAGAGGTAATATGACACATTAACCTAAAAAAAAAAAAGTTGAAAATGTGAGAAGAAAAGTAGTCAGGGAGGCTGTCAAGAGACCGACGATGCCGACAGCAACAGTGAAGGACCTTCAAGGAAGCGCTGGCTGTTTAGGACATGCAACAACATGTACCTTCAGGCTTTGGCTTTGAAGCCAAAACATGTCATGAAAGGGCAACCGCAACGTCTTTGTTTGGGGTTAATCAGAGGCCATTAAATGGTGGCAGGCGCGCGCTGATTCCTATTTACAGAAATAACAGCAAGCTTTTTGGCAGCTGAAATTAAAAGGGTGGGATTTTTTTTTTTTTTTTAAAGGTAGAGTGCTTCCTACCACATTCCGTGTTTCAACCGTGCCAAACGCTTTGATGACAAACTACATCTCCTGTAGGTATTTAAAATTTTCTTTATTTTTTTGTCCAAAGGTGAGACGTTCCTTTCTGATGTTATGATAGTGACTGCTCAGTTTTACATTTAGAGTACAGTATTCTTTTTGGGGAGTTTTCCGATGCAAAAAAAATCCCCCCCAAAAACCCATTACTGTTGTTAATAGCCATATTTTGCATTCCAAATGATATCATAGCACAAATGCGTACTTCTGTAATAACAAAACTAGCATTTCCAAAATGCAATCAGTAAGAATTTCAGGCGATCTGCGTAACTCTCGTTTGTTGCGTAACAGTTATTCTGGAGGAACACTTTAGCTGTCAGTTGACATACAATATCGGCAGTTTTTTTTTTTTTGGGTCACAATCCATAACCGTCTGTTGTTTGCTTCTAGGCTGGAAAACTCAATTGATGTTGGTAAACCAAACCTCTTAGCTGAAAGACCCTAAAAAGCTCCTGAGAATTGAGGGAATGCAGTCGGGTCATCCGTAAGAGGGA